AGGAAATCAATAATAGATACTGTTTTTGGCGCCTCGCGTTGATTATATTTATAGGCGTGTGGAGAGTTTCTCGAAATTTCAGTTTTACGTACACACATATATTATTGATTCTTACACTCGAAAATCTTCTACAACTTTAGAAAATAGGCGGGAATTTCGCATTAGATATTTAACAGTATAAGTTATGTACATTTCTAAATATAAATTTAATTTAAGCAAACATCGATTTTTAAAATAAATATGTAATAATAAATCCATCACAACAGATATAGGAATATAATTATTAGTACTACGGAATGAGGTGTTTTAGGACGTACTCTAACAATATCAATTGGGTTATTCAAGGTAATCTTCAATTTTCATGGTTCGGAAATTTTATTAATGTGCATCATACGTCCAAAATATCAAAGCAAATCTGTAAACAATAACAAAAAGCAAAATTGCTCCTCAAGAACAATAGTTATAGATGTAAATGCACCTCTTCCATACTTATGGAGTTGTGCCACAAAAGATCGAAATCCGACCATAGCAAAAGTTGATACCCAAATCGAAGTTTGAGATGCAAGGTCAGAATTTTGCATAATCAGGTCATTTTACCTTTGAAGGGTACGAAACGTTAAAGTATATTAAAATACCTCCACATACATAACGTAGCACACAAGCGTTGTGCTTCAACTGCTCTCAAATAATCTAATAATTTACACACAGTCTTCAGTTGGAGAACAATTTAATAGTCTTACAGTATGAATAGTGTCACCAGAATGCCCGAGTTGTTGCCACATTGTATGCCTAACGGTTTCCAAAGTAACGTCATCCTTCAGATCAGGTGATGATAAGAAATGTGCGTCAACGGCTGCATACTACAGGTATTTGTATGGGCACACCATGAACACCAACCAATATTTATAATGAAGGCACCATATTTACATTTGGACAGCACAGCTATTAATTGTTTGCTACGATTTCGTACTAGTGTTAGGATGTTTACCTCTTAAGAAAACAGCTTCAGACGCATTAACTTTTTAGATTTTTGCGAATGGGATTATCAGGGCTTTAGACTCAGTAAAGTACTAGACGCATTAGTGCTTTAGACAAGAATGTGGTGCTTTAGATCTAGATTCAGCGAATTAATGGGATCATTAAACTTTAAATTTAGCGAACTAGTGAAAACATTTATGTTTTAGAGTTGGTGGTTTTATTAATACATTTGTTTCAAATAAATATAGTTATTTTCTAGTAACTTTTTTCCAGACGTTTTCCAACTTTCATTCTCTAGTAATCTGTAACTGTGTAAAATAAAATTTATTTCGGCTAATTTAAAGAAATAAAAAAATTATAAAATCAACCATTTTAGATTTGTATCACTGTATCGATATACCTGAAAATAAATTAAAAAGTAAAAACAACAACAAGATATCAAGTCAAAGAAAATTACAAAAACATGAAATTTTATGGCAATTTTGTTAATATAATCTTAGTACTTTTGTTCTGTTACTGATCGCTCTTCTGATCGATTCGTTAAAACGCAGAATTCCATTTTATTTGTGTTATGTGCAATTATTCTGCTGTGAGAGATGTTTAGTAGTTGCAAGGATGTTAGACCTTGGGAACAGCTCAACCGGTTCGCACACTTATTCGCGTGTTGCTTGCTATCTGTTCGCGAAGTTTTGGTCTACTGGCGCCCAACTTTAACTAAATGACCTGGAATCTTGCTGCTCTTACTTAATTGCTTTCATTTTAAATGTAAGTACTCAATTTCGTTTCAAAACGAGAGGTACAACTAGAAAAGAAAACAGATTGCATCAAATAGGTGACCACGGAACCATCACCTGCACGTGCAACTCACCTTGTCGCAAGCTATTATCCTGCGCAGGTGAATAAAGAAATCTACAGAAGTTAAACTAGTCATGCCTTTCATACCAGAGTAATTGCGTCATTTATGTTGATAACCCTCAGGAACCCTGAGGCAGAGCTTTGTCTTGATTGACCCAAATCTAGCTTTCAGAATATTATCTTGTCACGTTTTTTGTTAATATATATAAAACCACGTAAGTGCTTCACTTTCATGAATACGCTTGTCGATAACAAATATGATTGCGAGTGTTGACGTAAGGGGCTTTTACATTAAATATAAACACGTTTTTTTTTCTTTTTGTTTCTAGAGTATTATTTTTATATCATTAAAAATGTCTATACTGAGAACACTGAAATTAACTTTATATACATACTATGCGTTAAATTATCTTTAAATACATTATGGGGAACTAAAAATCAACTTGAAATACATACTGAAGCACATATTTTGAACTTGAAATATATAGTGGAAACGTGTGTTTGTGTTAGAGTAAAGCCACGATAGGCTATTTGCTGTGTCCACTGCGGAGTTAAATATTGTAAGTCCATAGATTTACGACTGTCGTAACGGGGGACATGGTGAAAAGGCTGAATATTAAGTTGAAATATATTATATATGAATGTCAAGTGGATGTAATAATTACAACAAAGGTAGAAACCGGCCATCTGTGTTTCTATATCAAACGTTTAACCCTAAGAATTTCATCACTGCACATCTATCTCTTTCTAAATCCCAAATTTGGGCACTGAGTTTTTTCAATGATTTTGATATCGAAAAGAGTGAAAATATATCGTTCATAGGATACGTTTTTCGTTGATTTGAGTATAAATCTTTTGGCGTTTATATGAGTTTTGTGCCTCACATATAATGGTCATGAGCTTTCGTTCAGGGCATATAATTTTAATAACGAAAATCTGTCTTGATTTGGTTGTTCAGAACGATGTTAAACCATGCAAGCATACCAACCAGATTCCAAGTTCTAGATCATCCCGCCGTGAGTCGTCAATTGTATACAAAACATGTCACAGCAAGTCGAATTATCAGAAAATATAAACTCACTCATTACACGTGTTCCAAGTGTATGTTTTATACACTGGTATCTACACATAAAGTCACGCGTTATACTTCCATAAAAAAGAGATTTAGTTTTTGGTAAGTTAAAGTTGTTTATGAACATTCAAGTAAGTGGGATAAAAGAGACGGTAGTAAGTGCTGTAGAGAATGAACCTGCAGGAGTGTAAGTGCTGTACAGAATGAACCTGCAGGAGTGTAAGTGCTGTACAGAATGAACCTGCAGGAGTGTAAGTGCTGTCGGGCTCTGAAAGTTGATGTTTGATGTTGATGTTTATTATTAAGCACAAAGCTCAACCGAGGGCTATCTGTGCTCTGCCCACCACGATTATCGAAACCCGGTATTTAGCGGTATAAGTCCAGAGACATGCCGCTGTGCCACTGGGGGTGACTTTCCTTGTCCGGTGTTGTAATTTGTTGTCCAAAAGAATCAAGTAACGGTCATTTGCTTTGTAGTTTATAGGCACAATCATCAACGACGATTACTGCACAGTAACAAAAATGAATAAAATTACATTAAACACAAACACTTCAAAATACTTTTTTTTATTTTAAAAAGAAATTCTCACTTTTCCTAACATTTTATTTAAATAGTGGAAAAAATGCTCGTTGATAGAAAACTTTCTACTTATACTTTGAAGTAGTTTAATTCAGTTTCGTGTTTTAGACAAAGGATGACTTGACAGATCATGTGTATTAATGTAAATATCTGTTTAAAATAAGTATCGATATTGAACTATTGTAGGTTTAATTGAGTTTCGTGTTTTAGACAAAGGTCGACTTGACAGATCATGTGAATTGATGTAATTATCTGTGTAAAATAAGTATCGATATTGAACTATTGTAGGTTTAATTGAGTTTCGTGTTTTAGACAAAGGATAACTTGACAGATGATGTGTATTGACGTAATTATCTGTATGAAATAAGAACCGATATTGAACTATTGTATATTATTATATTCTTCAACAGAACGGAAGGGTTGTATGCAAAGAAAAATGCCAATATAGCCATAGAAAAAACTGCTACTTTCTTCTGTATGATCAGAAACGGAGTTGCTGTAATGTATGTAAAGGTGAGTAAAGTGTAGTTTGTTGTAATTTATGTAAAGGTGAGTAAAGCGTACTTTGTTGTAATTTATGTAAAGGTGACTAAAGCGTAGTTTGTTGTGATCTATGTAAAGGTGAGTAAAGCGTAGTTTGTTGTAATGTATGTAAAGGTGACTAAAGCGTAGTTTGTTGTAATTTATGTAAAGGTGAGTAAAGCGTAGTTTGTTGTAATTTATGTAAAGGTGAGTAAAGCGTAGTTTGTTGTAATTTATGTTAAGGTGAGTAAAGCGTAGTTTGTTGTAATTTATGTTAAGGTGAGTAAAGCGTAGTTTGTTGTGATGTATGTAAAGGTGAGTAAAGCGTAGTTTGTTGTGATGTATGTAAAGGTGAGTAAAGCGTAGTTTGTTATAATGTATGTAAAGGCGAGTAAAGCGTAGTTTGTTGTAATTTATGTAAAGGTGAGTAAAGCGTAGTTTGTTGTGATGTATG